GGTTTTGATTTTGAATGAATTAGTCAACTTACACTACCTATGCCTACACTCTACACTTCACTAACTTACTTAAGCCTAGGGCAGTGGTTGGCAAACTCATGATTCAAAAGAGCCAAAAATCAGCAGCGGGACAATTAATAAAATTTTGAGAGCAAAATTTCTTTTCAAGAACCCCACAAAAACCATGTTTTTTCGGAGTCAAAGCCGATTTGTGACAGACTGGTAGAGCCGCACTCAGGTAGTTTAAAAGCCGCGATTTGCTGACCACTGGCCTAGGTCCTCCATTTCATTAAATTGTGTTACCATGAAATAACTCTGTTTCTTTTGGTGTACACTGTATGTATATATATATATATATATATATATATATATATATGGATGGATGGATATGGATGGATGGATATGGATGGATGAATATGGACAGATGGATATGGACGGGTGGATATGGATGGATGGATATGGATTTATGGATATGGATAGATAGATGGATGGATATTTTTACATATATATCGATTAATGGATAGTTGTGTTACCATGAAATAACTCTGTTTCTTTTGGTGTACACTGTATGTATATATATATATATATATATATATATATATATATATATATGGATGGATGGATATGGATGGATGGATATGGATGGATGAATATGGACAGATGGATATGGACGGGTGGATATGGATGGATGGATATGGATATATGGATATGGATAGATAGATGGATGGATATTTTTACATATATATCGATTAATGGATAGATATTTATATATATATATATATATATATATATATATATATATATATATATATATATAGAGAGATAGATATATATATATATATATATATATATATATATATAGAGATATAGATATATATATATATATATATATATATATATATATAGAGAGATAGATATATATATATATATATATATATATATATATATAGAGAGATAGATAGATATATATATATATATATATATATATATATAGACAGATGGATAGATATTTATATATATATATAGATAGATGGATATATATTTTTATATATATATCGATAGACAGATGGATAGATATTTATATATATATATAGACAGATGGATAGATATTTATATATATATATGGATAGATATTTTTTATAGATAGATAGATAGATAGATGGATGGATGGATTCGATTCGATTAGATCAGATTAGATTAGATTAGATTAGATAAATAGATAGATAGATAGATAGATAGATAGATAGATAGATAGATAGATAGATAGATAGATAGATAGATAGATAAGATAAGATAAGATTAGATTAGATTAGATTAGATTAGATTAGATTAGATTAGATTAGATTAGATTAGATTAGATTAGATTAGATTAGATTAGATTAGATTAGATTAGATTAGATTAGATTAGATTAGATTAGATTAAGGTAGGTAGGTAGGTAGATAGATAGATAGATAGATAGATAGATAGATAGATAGATAGATAGATAGATAGATAGATAGATAGATAGATAGATAGATAGATAGATAGATAGATAGATGCAGATAGATAGACATAGATAGATAGATGCAGATAGATAGATGCAGATAGATAGATGCAGATACATAGATGCAGATACATAGATGCAGATACATAGATGCAGATACATAGATGCAGATACATATACAGATACATATACAGATACATATAGATACAGAGATATATATAGATACAGAGATACATATAGATACAGAGATACAGAGATACAGAGATACATATAGATACAGAGATACATATAGATACAGAGATACATATAGATACAGAGATGCATATAGATACAGAGATACATATAGATACAGAGATACATATAGATACAGAGATACATAGATACAGAGATACATATAGATACATAGAGATACATATAGATACATAGAGATACATAGATACAAAGAGATACATAGATTCATAGAGATATATAGATACAAAGATACATATAGATATAGAGATACATATAGATACAGAGATACATATAGATACAGAGATACATATAGATACATAGATACATATAGATACATAAAGATATATAGATACATATAGATATATATATATTCTTTTAAATTTATCCTTTGAAAATTAAAAAGATCAGATTCAGCTGTAGGAGATCACAATTTATAAAGTAGATCTATGAGTTTCAGTTTTTAAAAGGGAAAGCCATAGAGTGTAAGAAATAGTTATCTAAATAATTATTATGAAATAAATATAGCAAGAAACAATCAAAATAATGCCACTCTGCAATAAAAAAGGGAGGATTAACTAAATGATTATTTATTATCAGGCCAAACTTGCTTTATTTAGAATGTCTTTTGTCAAAGTGTCATATTTAACTTGACTTTATTAGTTAAAAAAAGATTATTTTCATATCACAATCATAAATCAAAGTTTAAAATGGAATCTTAAATAATCTTTTCATAACCCAGCATCATGATGGAAACATTCCTTGAAGATGCTGAAAATTCTCTACATCATAGGACCAATGTCCAGAATGGATCTCAGACATCTGAATCATCAGATGATGAAATGGATGACCCATTTTTGTATGATCAATTTCTGCCTGATCCAGACTGGGCTAAAGCTGACCGTGAGGAGGTCAAAGTCAAGAATTTAGTGGATCCTGGGTTATTTCGATATAATAAACGTATTTTTGTAACTAGTCTTCCAGCTCAGCTGCTTATTTTGGCACTTGGTGGAGAAACGTGAGTTTTTTTAAATCTTAACTTGCACTTAAATACTTTAACTCTGTATCTAATGTGTGGTGCTATTGTGGCCTTTGAAACATGTTCAATGAAATTGCCACTATAATGGCTTTATGGCATTATCTCTTTATTTTGTTCTGTTGCAGTTGATTTTTATTTTATTTATCTATATGATAATGTAAAAGCTCTACTAATGGCAGGGGTACTCAAAGTCTGTCCAGCAAGGTCATTTCAAAAGGCCCACAGAAAAGTTGTTAATTTTTTTTTTATTTATAAAGCAGCCTAATGCACAGCAGTAAAATAAAATCAATTCTTCAGTGAACAAGGAACAACCCAAATACTGTTAGTACATCAAGTTGTTGAATGGATGAACTTGCTGAATGATAAATTGATTGATCAAATGTTGCACAGTTGTGCTTGTTTGTTTGTCTGCCTTTTGAATGGAAAGTCAATATCTGAAGATTTCCTGATGTTACTTCCTCCTGCATGTAACCAGGCACAAGGTGAGGAAATAATGAATTTGATGTCTGACTTGATGACCACAACTGCACGTCATGTCGGCAATCTCTTCTCTCTGACAACGGATGGTGCTCTATACATGACAGAAAAGGCTAAACATCTTGCAATGGTCTTAAGACTGTTCAACAAAATTTATATCATATCACTGCACGCTTCATCAGTCACTTACATGTTCAAATCTGAGCATTAAATTTGTTGTTGAATAATGAAAACAGTTATGAAATTCATACATTCATCATTGCAGCCCAATCATTTTTAGTGCTTCTTAGCTGTTCTGTGCAGAAAATGATGATTCACTTTTGCACAAGACAGCTAAGAAGATGTAAGATGGCTTTGTAAAGGAAAAGTTTGCGGGCGATGCTGCGTGCTTCATAAGTTTCTCAAAGCAGTAAAGTCAAAGAAGGCTTTTGCATTTTTATATAGTCCACTCTTGTTACTGTAACTAATAAGCAGATGGATCAAATTAGAACAATGGTCATTTCCTGCATAGAAATTTTTTTTAATGGGTTCAAAAGCTGATGCAGGACTGTCAGTAATATTAATTTTTGATGCAGATCCATTTATCATCATTCTTGATGATTGGACAGCTACTGCTGCAAATTTCCCAACATAAGTCAAGAATCCCTTCAGCTCTGAACAGCTGATATCCAAGGAAATGAAGTTTTGGGGACAAGGACATAGCGGACCACTTTGGGTGGGATTTGTTTGGAGATTTACATTATCCATTAATCAGAAAACTAGAAGATAAAGTCTTGCAATATTTGGATCAGCTTATCCATGCATTTTCAACCATGAACATCATCAAGACAAAGTTTCGCAGAATGAAAACTGGAAAACTTGATGGGAATTGCTTTGGCTTCATACTCACTAGACTACCTGACCGTGTTGAGGAGTATAACTCATTTTGATTTGAGCAAACAAGAAACTATTAGAATAGTGCTTTAAATTTTTAACAACCCTAAAAAACATTTTTTTTTTTTATAGATCCTTTATAAAATGTAATACAGTGCAATGGGAAGGTGGGGCTGAAAATTTAACAAAACATGCATACAAGTGACGCACTTTATAAGAAACCCAATGAGTGTACACTGTAGAAGAGTAAGTATTAAGTCAATGTGGAATTGGATCCAGCCCACTGAACTTGTCCAGATTTTATCCCTGGTCTGATTAGTCCGAGTACCTCTGACGTATGGGGAAACTAAATTAGAGTTATAGAGGTGTGTTTGCATTATTTATATGATAAAGTTCAAGGAGTTCTAGTATTTTGTAAGGTAGTGTGAAATCCTTTTAAACGATTTCTTTCCATGAATGTCATTTAAGTAATACAATTAGATGTTTCGTTTGAAATTTCCATTCAGCTTTAATTTCTTTTCAACTGATAACAAATTCAAGACTATCTGTTAATTAATTTTGAAAATATTAAGCACCTTCTGTAAGAATTATTACATTTTTTCATGCATGGAATTTAGTCAGTCCTAAGGCAAACTAAAACTTAGCAGTCAAAGAAGTTAAGTACACTTGAGTTACCTTAATAATTTGACTTATTTTATAAACATATTTAATTAATATTCATTTTCAAAATTCGTTAATATGATTTTTTTTAAATTTATGCAATTTGCTTTAATTATTTCAAAATTGTTTTATAACATTTCTGTCTCAGATTTTATTCTCTTTATTTTATTGCTGACCAACCTACAGCATACGATGTCATTTATTTATTTTCAATTTCAAATACTTTCAGCCTGGTGCTTATGACAGCAATTGGTACAGCACTTTTAGCAATTATGTCACAGCTTGGCGATAGCCGAAGGTACTGTTTAACTCATTAATGATTTATTATTAAAGTTTTGCTGTTTAAAATTTATTGCCAAATAAAACATTTTTAACAAAGGGCAAAAATTAAAAGATTTTACTTCTTCATAGAAAATACAATATATTTAAACTATAATAACATCACTTTTAATTACACAGGTGTGTCATTACATTTGTAATCATCTTCATTCCAAGTCATACTTATGTGCTAGCTTCAGTGCTACCTCTGCTATGGTAAGTTTGTTTGGTGTAACTTGCATGGTTAATAACACTCCATAACAATTAAAACTGGATACCAATTATCTGTTATATAACTTTTAAAATATTATAATAATATTAATGTAGAAGAGGTTTATAAATCTAATAATTTGTGCTAAATAGTTTGCAGAATAAAAGAATAAAGATGTTGGTGTACTATGTTTGAACATAACTTTTCTATTATAATTTATTGTAAAAAAAAGACCACCCAAAAATATTACAAAGTGCAACATCTAAAAAATCACATTCTTTTAGGTTGTCTGGCTGGCATTTTCTTCTTATTGTGATGGTGAACCTTTTTGTGATAATGACAGCTGGTTGGGTCTTGTTGCAGTTCAAGGCTTTCAGGATGGAGGAGCCCACTCTAGCTGCTGTAAGTGTTACACTTAATGAGAGGTAGAATTTTTAAATACAACACTTCTTAAAATAGTATTTTCCAAGTAAAGCACCATTGTGCCCCCTCTGCAAACATCCATTTGAGACAATAAAATAATCACCTCTTCCCCTGGCTGGCACTTCAGGACACCAATGTGCCCCCTCTGCAGACATCCATTTGAGACAACAAAATAATCACCTCTTCCACTGGCTGGCACTGCAGGACACCAATGTGCCCCCTCTGCAGACATCCATTTGAGACAATAAAATAATCACCTCTTCCCCTGGCTGGCACTGGCAGGACACCAATGTGCCCCCTCTGCAGACATCCATTTGAGACAATAAAATAATCACCTCTTCCACTGGCTGGCACTGCAGGACTTACGCCGTAACTCTCTACCAAAAGCACCAGACCACACCAACACCCTATATACAAACAAAGGACAGCCGCGGGGTGTTGGTCATTTCTTCACTGCGGCCACGGCCTGGAGGGCACATGCCCATTGAGGGTACATGCCCATTGAAAGTACATGCCCATTGAGGGTACATGCCCATTGAGGGTACATGCCCATTGAGGGTACATGCCCATTGAGGGTACGTGCCCACTGTGGGTACATGCCAATTGGCCACAGGATCTGAATGATGATGAGGATGAAAACATTTAATTTTTAGCCTTTATGACTGTGAGCAACGTTCTGATTCTTGTTATTTGGTCACAAAGGGTTTGCTAGGTGGCAGTCAGCTGAAACAGTAGAGTGAAATAATTGGAATTTGAGAAGCAATTTTCTTTTCTGCAGCCTTTAAATTTAAAAAAATATCCCAATATTCCCCAATGACCTTTACATATTATGATGGTGGTTTTTCAACAGTTCTAAACTAAAAAAGGGTTTTGGGGGGAGTTTTAATATTAAGATTGGCAGTAACTAGAACTTATCGCGAAGCTTGTTAAAGAGTTACAATTTTAATCATCTCATTAAGTATGTCACGTGTCTATAAAATAGGTACACAGCTAAAAAAATGATTGGGAACCAATGTTTTCCGGCAGAGTGACAGGATTTTCTTGTATTTTGTACCTGGCTTTATCTATTTCTGATGTGTAAAACATTTTTTACCTGGTTTTCACTGATGATACAAAATTTTTAAGGGGAGAATGGGGTATCCGGTATCATGTTAAATTTGAGTATGTGATAACTTTAGTTATTTTGTTTGTATTAAAATAATATTTTTATAAGCTTAAAAAAATAATGCAATGTGATGATTGAAAAATACACACTTCTGGGTACTATTTTTATAACATCAACATAAAGCATTAACAGTAATAAATTGTACTGATTTTCTGTAGCTATTTTAGAGTTGGTTGAAATGTTTCATAAGCTTTTAAAAGGTGCATCTTACTGTTATTTGAGTTTGGTTTAAGTAAAATAAAGAGTAGTCAAGAGAGACACCCACACAAAAATCTTTAAAATTTCACTTTGGGAAATTAACTTTTTTTTTTTTTTGGTTATGTTTTTCAAATGTCAGTGGCAGCTTACTTTAATATGTGTATCAAATTTTATTCACGATTAAATTACTTGAATAATTTAAACTTATTGAAAAATATGCACTTTTTAAAGAGATCTGTTGTTAATGGCCACTATGCATAATGTATGATTCTTGCAGTAGTGGAAAATCAGTCTCGAAAAGTAAGCTCATGCTGCAGAAGTAAAACCAGTTCCCGTCTGTCCACAGATTGTAGAGCAGATGTTATTCACAGTTTATCCTCTAGTTTGTACTGGACTGGTGTGCTGGGCATTAGGAGCAGTGGTGCCTGCCTCAGTTTTACCTACAGTTTTTTCTTTTATTTGGCAAGTACATTTTCATATCCATGTACTGGTTATATCACAGATGCCAACTTTACAGGGGTAAACACCTTGAATTAAAGGGAGAACAAATGTGGGCAAATATTTTTGAAAGAGTGTAAAAGAAGATGGAATGTATGGAAATTTCTAAACTGACAGGGTTGATGGGTTTGTACAAACAGTAGCAATGGGCATATCAAAAATGGTTGGTACAAACTGATGGCGGTCTCAAAACTAACAAGAGAAAGCTACTGGCTGGGTTTGTACAAACAATGATATAGTATAGTGTCCCTGGCTGGGTTTGTACAAACAAGGATACAGTATAGTGTCCCGGCTGGGTTTGTACATATATTGATATAGTATAGTGTCACTGGCTGGGTTTGTACAATCTAGTTATTGTTGAACTCAGAAAAATAGGCTTGGCATGTGCACTTTCCAATTCCCTCCATTTATTTAAGCCCCTGGGAATGACTGACTAAACTATTTTTATGCATCAGGTTCGTCTTGCTTCAACTGTATCTGGTCCCTACATTATCCTCATTCAAAGTCCAGACGACCCCTGATGAGAGCCTAGATGTTGTCCAGGTTCCCATCGTGGCCGTAACAGTCATAGTGTTTGTCCTGCTGGGTCCTCTCCTACATTTTGTCCTGTCCTTTCTTGCTGCTGATGCCCCAGGCATATCTGTAATGTTTTTTGTAAGTCAATTTGTTTTCCTGGATAATAATTAATACTCATCTTTGTTGGTCTCATCTCTTGTGACATTTATGAGAACAAATAATTTTTTCATTCTTTTGTGAACTTTGAATCTAACTCATTTCCTTTTTGTAGTTAAGACTTAGCAACTTTAAGGTTTCTGTTTAAATGGGAGAAATGTTAGAACTGTGCCATCATTGTGTTGGTTTTCTATATTTGGCAGTGAAATTTTATAAAAATGTTTTAGTTCAGATGCATATAAATTAAGTGTGAATATTTGTTTTGATCTCCAGGTTCACTTGGTCTTTATCCTGTCACTTACCTTGTTTTTATCCACCTTGCTCAGTATTAGGCAAATATTTGAATATCTGGGTAAGTCCTTTCTAAACCTTGGGATATATTTTCTAAATCTTTTTAAAACGACAACATGCTGGAATTTCAAAAAAATAAATTTGGATTTATATAAAGAAAGACGCGATGAAGTACTTAGAATAATCCCCAGCTTAATATCATCCCCCAAAATATCACCACAGAAAAAGTATGCCAGCAAAACACCAAAGCCATATTAGGAGCTGCCTCCTAAAGTGTCCCGAGGCGCTGCAGGGGGAAATATAAACCTTTCTGGAACAGAATATCGACAAAGCCATAAAAAATAGAATCTGCCTGGAAATCTTTAGAAAATAATCCAATTGTTGAAAACAAAATAATTCTAAATCAGGCCAGAGGCAAAGAGAAAATAGCTATCAAGACAGCCGAGAGAAATACATGGGCCCAGACAACGCAGAAGTAGACCTACGCAAGAATGGTCCCTTCTAAGTAACCTCTGTGGTGAAAGGAGGACCTCAAACCCAAAACCTATGTAATAGTACTAGGTAAAAGTAAAAATAAGGGAAGATCAAAAAAAAAAAAAGCAGAGATCTATAACAAACACTTTGCCTGAAGAAACAAGGCAAACAAAAAGACAGACAGTGACCAGTGCCTAATAGATTACCTAAAATCCATAAAGAGAGCTCCTAATGCCCTTTTTGAAGAGATCTTCACACTGGCTTAACGCAACAGAGCTATGAAGAAATTGAAATCTTGAAAAGCACCAGAGTCAAATAAAATCCATAATGAGATGCTGATCAATTCTGGACCCTTTAGTGGGAAAATAAAAGCTATTTTGTTCTTATAAACAGCACTTGGCGCCCAAGTGAGATCCCTAAACTCTGGGAAAATGCTGCAATAATAACACTTAGATTAAAAAAGAAAAGTCTGCAGACCCTTATCCCTGACCTGGTGCATTAGAAAACTTGCAGAAAGAAAGATCAACAATTGCCTCTACTGGTGGCTAGAAACAATGTGCACCCAAGATAAACACCAGTCTAACAAAAATAAATAAAATGCCAGCTCATCAATGTTTGTCCTGGAAGAAGGGCTTCCACCAGGTTCGTCACTGAGTTGTACCCTATTTTTAATGACCTATCGGACAAGCTACAGGTGGAGAAGGCACTCTACGCAGATGACCTTGTGATGTAACATACTTACTGACACACAGGTATAAGTGCAAGATGTCTTTATGAAGACTTGATGAGGCTCAGTACACACTGAAAAGTGGAAACTGAAAAACAGTTTACTCTGTCTTCACTAAAAGCCACATTATGCCTAAAAGGCGCCATACTCCAAAAAGAATACAATCCAAACATATCTTGGTGTCTTGTTAAATGGGAAACTCAGTTAACAAAAGTATTTTCAAAACTAGAAAGAAAAAGTCAAGGGGGGGGAGAGACAGTGACAAGACCACACAGCGTCAGTTGTACATAGGATTGTACAGACCACACAGCGTCAGTTGTACATAGGATTGTACAGACAACACAGCGTCAGTTGTACATAGGATTGTACAGACCACACAGTGTCAGTTGTACATAGGATTGTATAGACCACACAGCGTCAGTTGTACATAGGATTGTACAGACCACACAGTGTCAGTTGTACATAGGATTGTACAGACCACACAGCGTCAGTTGTACATAGGATTGTACAATCAGTAATTGAATTCAGCTTTGCACTAGTTAGTTTGCATCAAGACCGTCCAGGACTCTCTCTAGGAAAAGTCCAACGCCAGGCAGTCCATTTCATCCCTGGAGTTATAGGATCTACCCCAACAGCAGGATGTGAAATACAGAATAAAATTGAACCAAAGAGAGGTGGCAGTTATTGAGATGGTTTCAGCAATATCCAAATAGACACATGGTTGAGAAATAGAAACCAAACCATAGAATTATACAGAAATCAATACGAGATGTGGCCCCTGGAATTGAAGAGAAACACCCCCTGCCAACAGGTAAGATTTGCAACAAATGGTTTATATCAAAGCAGACCTAATGGAAAAGACAGAAGAGAAAAGCACTGATCCATTGCATGCAATCACAGCGACAGAAAAATCTGAAGCATCCTGACCACAAGATATAATCCAATGATATACAGATGGGTCAGCTTTCAAAGGAGACCTACGTGTAGGCTATGGTGTATAAATAGAGTACCCAGACCAATCATGTGATGACCCCTGCAAGCCCTGCGGGGGCGATCTGCAGTATGAAGCAGAAGTGACTGCTATTGAAGCAGCATTGCACCACCTATCTGCAATCTTCACAGTTCACCCCGGCAAACAAAGTCATGTCTTTATCTTCTCCGACTGCAAATCATGCAGCTGACAATCAAGATGCCACAAAAAACTGCAGTTAAATCACTACTTCTGAAAATAAACACACTGCAAAGCAGATTATCAAAATGTTTGTTCCATAGCTCAATAAATCAACCAGTTGTGTAAACTGTGTGGTCAGCAAACATTTTTTGTAAAGGGCCAAGAGTAAAAATTTGTAAACACTACAGGAAGAGTGAAATAAATTTCTGGGCTACCACATATAGGGATGCCTTTGTGTAGTTGTCACCTGGAAAGTGGTGGCACATGTTATTCAACATATATTGGTATTGACTTAATTAAGATAGTAAAATATGTTCATTTCTGTGGAGGATTTTTATTTAATATATGGCATATCTACTTCTATCTCCACCTTGTTTGTAGAGCCGAGGGAATTATGTGCACATTTTTTGTTGTTTTCAGGTCTACCTTACAGTACAGCGATTTATGTGCGGTGGGTCACCGGCCTTATTTGCACAGCCCTTTCTTCACCAGTACTTTATGCATATGGTTTAGATTCCCATTTTCTGCCACTCCTCCCAGTAGCGATAGCCATCTTTGCAGCCCTCGGGGTTGTGTTGGCATTTAAGAAGAGGAAAGTTGTCATGGGGGTGAGTGGGGAAATGACAAGTTATGAAATTTGCATTAGGTACTACACTGATTATTCATTATGAAATTTGCATTAGGTACTACAGCAGCGGTTCTCAACCTGTGGGTCTCAACCTTTGGGGGTTGAATGACCCTATTCCAGGGGTCGCCTAAGGCCATCGGAAAATACATATGCTCTACAGTTATGAAGTAGCAACAAAAAAAAATTGTGGTTAGGGGTAGCCACAACATGGGTAACTGTATTACAGGGTCACGGCATTATGAAGGTTGAGAACCACCGTACTACAGTGATTATTCATTATGAAATTTGCATTAGGTACTATAGTGATTATTCATTATGATTTTTTTTTTTTTAAAGTTAACACACTGGGGGGTGATTGAAAATTTGTTCGTTATTCACAGATGAACGACGAAACAAATCAGTTAATATATTTTTGTTTGGTTCAGGTGCTGGCCCTTGTGTTGGTCACCAGTCTGATTGCACTCTTCCTCCTCTGGATCCAGAGAATGCCACACAATCTTCAGTATCCTTGTTATTTTTTTTTCTTTCACCTGCCTGATTGTATTTGATTTATAAGTTTTTGGAAGGATATGGGGAATGAAGAGAGACGTGGATTGTATGGAAGGATATTAGGGCAACACAAAATCATGTATCCATGATTTCATTAATAATTGATGGGCATTTTACTAGTAGTAATGATAAGAGTTGACTTCCACACCTAAACAGCCTTTCATGTGCAATAATTTGGGGTGTTTTCTTTAATGGCAAGAAAGACAATACTTTATGGGGATCTTCCCGCTCAACACATTTTACATTATGATGTGCGCCAACTTTCTTCTTTGTCTACTTTGCCTGTGGATGGCCTCAGTGAATGCTAAGGAAATGCTGGGAGCTTTACTTATATTACAGGCAGTTGGTAAGTAATCAGCCAGATTTCTTAGTTTTTATACTACAAGTAATTGATAAGTAATCAGCCAAATTTCTTAGTTTTTATATTACAAGTAGTTGATAAGTAATCAGCTGAATTTCTTAGTTTTTATATTATAAGTAATTGATAAGTAATCAGCCGAATTTCTTAGTTTTTATATTATAAGTAATTGATAAGTAATCAGCCAAATTTGTTAGTTTTTATATTATAAGTAATTGATAAGTAATCAGCTGAATTTCTTAGTTTTTATATTACAAGGATTTGGTAAGTAAATTGAAATTGATTTTCTTGCCTCTTAGTCTAGTGAATATGACAACTATCAGTTGTGTGCCAATAAATACATTAAACTTTTGAACAGTCAATTTGCCTCATACACAGTTTACCATAGACTTCTGTTAACATGTTCCTCACACATAATTTACTATAGCTCTATGTTGATAAGTTAACAATTGATTTTAATGAGACTTCCGACTTAATGTCTTATGAAGAGTTTAGGACTAAAAGCTATCATTTCAGTATTCTGTGATCCAAACATGGATTTTTAGATCTAGTTGTTATTATAGTACATAAACACACAACTTGGCTCCAAATATAGAGAAATCTCTTCAATGTTTCTTATTTAATGTCTTCTAGTGGTTTGAGCTGAGACATTTTCTTTCATACCATTGCAGTCCTGACCATTTGTGAGGTTTCTTTGCACAACTCCAATTTTTACTCCACCTCCAAACTTCAAATGACGTCCATCATTGCCAGCTACACCATCTACCGGATGCAGGTTGTGAACAAAATCTCCAGGCAAGTGGCTGTGCTGGCATCAGGTGTACACATGGCCAAATCACTGGCAAGTGCCACATCTTTGGTGCTGGATGGAGAAAACAGGGAGATCACTCTTCTGGAGATGACAGCTTTAGGTTTCATGACTTATGCCCTTGTGTCTGTCTTCTTATATGGAACCATGGGAGAAAAGTCAGGACTTGAGGTATTTAGCTTGGTTAAATTTGTTTTTAAAACTAAATAGCATCAAGTAAAAAGGAGACTGTAGGGGCAAAAAAGATTGAAAATAAATAATTTGAGTGCATCCTCAATTGCATCCTTTCAATTTTTGGCTGTGTACTAATCACAATAAAGTTTTCACAAATGTTCCATAGTTTCACAATTTGTTTAGTCTGTAGTTAAAAAATTTTCCTTAAAAATGAAACGTATATTTATTAACAATTTGATCGATCTTTATGGATATAAATTATGTATTTAAAAGATCAAACATATTGATTAAATTCTTTAGGAAAAAAATATTGATAACCCAAAGATTTTGAGTAAGTTTGTGTGTATCGGGTGAGATGAAAGGTGGGGAATTGTACAGACCAGGCTGCCATTTTGTTAAATGCACTCATTTAAAGAGAAGATTTTGAGTAAGTTTGTGTGTATCGGGTGAGATGAAAGGTGGGGAATTGTACAGACCAGGCTGCCATTTTGTTAAATGCACTCATTTAAAGAGAAGATTTTGAGTAAGTTTGTGTGTATCGGGTGAGATGAAAGGTGGGGAATTGTACAGACCAGGCTGCCATTTTGTTAAATGCACTCATTTAAAGAGAAGATTTTGAGTAAGTTTGTGTGTATCGGGTGAGATGAAAGGTGGGGAATTGTACAGACCAGGCTGACATTTTTTTAAATGCACTCATTTAAAGAGAAGATTTTGCTGCCGATTTGAACTTTCTACCTACATATTTATAATTTGGTTAATCCACCTTATTTTGATACATTCAAATAGATGTTCAGACTAAGCTTTGTAACAAGTATTAGCTCTGTAGCTTTATGCAAGCACATATTCACAGTGAAAATCATTTACATATGAATATGTGCTGTGTATCCTCTTGATTACTTTAGAAGTCAACTTTCTAAATGAACAATTCCATTTATTCTTCCATTTGCATTATTTGCATAATGTTGATGAGGGCTGAGATGGGTGCTGACCCCGGTACCTGCAAATGCCAAGTATTGGCACATCCTGCACATACACGAAACTGGGTCTGGGGTTTTAAATAAAGAGTTATCTTCTCATTTTCTATACTGTGCCCCACCCAATGGGGAGACATATAGAACCAGCCCATCTTTGTTGACATATTTTTGTGTACTTTTTACCTGAATTAAATAAATAGTAATGTAATAGAAAACAGACTAGCAATTGATGAGAAACTAAATGAAACGGCAAAGCTCTGGAAATAATAATGTACTTGCTGCGAATTTTGTGTAATTATTTGTCTTTGCAAGATGCACATTTTTTATTATGACCATAGCACTTTCAATTTACAATTAATATTTCATTTCACACACTGACTGGATGACGATACTAAGTACCAGGTAGTCAAAGGTTTTTTGTGTGTGTGTAGATAGTGTGTAAGTTCTATCAAGATTCAGTAGCAGTAATATAATTTAACACTCATTTAATAAGTGTAGCAATTGGCTTAAATAAAGGATGGCTAGAATGATATCACCATAATGATGATATAAATATTTATTGAAATAATATGCCTACATTAGTAGACGACCAACACTAAAGCTCCATGTTTGATTTTTTTTATGGCTATGGGTATGGTCAGTGGCTCAACCTGTGTGTCACAACCCCCCTTGGAGGTTGCCTGACAGGAGTGTTGAGAATTTTAGAAATGAGAGGGGGGAGATTGAGGGGGGGGTGTATTTTAAGATTTTAGTATTTTTTAACAGGGATTGGGCTAGTTTCTTATTGCTACCACACTCTGACTACACAACAGCTACGTACAATTTTAACAAAAACTATGATTCTTTCTGTAGATGTCTGCAGCTAATTTAATGTACGCATTTTGACAGTTTCTTTTCATTTGTTAAAAAAAATAACATTTTAGACGATTTAAATTTTTTTTTTTTCATTTTCTTTTTGACCTAAACTTAAAAGTTGGCAGCTTCCATGCTTATCTGCAACAAAATATCTGCCTTCTCCCCTTCTCTACACCTGTTCCTCAATTACAAAGCAATATTTCTGGTTGTGGGGTCACCACAAACTGGCAAAGGTTATAAAGGTTGCAGCAGTAAAATGGTTTAGGATCCCTGAGTAAGGATTACCGGTATATTATTAAGGTATTAGTGTTTTAAAGCCTTAAAGTATGATGCCTTTGAGATCAATACTGGTTCTTTACAAGCAGTTTTCCCTTCTTCCCCTTGGGTGAAACACATTTTAGAAAATGAGAAGATTTTTTTTTTTTAACACCAGGGCCCATCTGGCATTGTCTCCAAATACCCAGACTGAGTGTAAAAAAACTGCATCCAAGAACCTGGTGTAATGTTCACCTGTAACTTTAATGCTTAAAATCTCCATTGCTGTAAAGCTTGTTGATACAAGGCAACAATTCTTTTTAAAAAATATCATTTAAAGACTGTCATACCCAGTAAAAGAATAAATGGTATATTTCTATAAAAAATTCATCATTTTTAATCAATCTTTTAGAAAAGTAATATGGCCATAGATAAACCAGTGGTCTTGTGTTGTTGACTTATTATGGCAGCTGTAAGAGATAAAGACTGGTACGGGTATTCTGATGTCTTGACCAGCATTCTACCAGTATAAAGACTGGTATTCTGGTAACTTGACCAGCATTCTACCAGTATAAAGACTGGTATTCTGACGTCTTGACCAGCAATCTATTGCATTTAGCTGAAAAGAAGTGTCCGAGAGGGCAGCAAAAGAATTGTCCTACAATTTCCTTTTTTGCTAACCTGATTGCAGTTTCTCCCCCTTATTACTATTCTACCAATACAAAGACTGGTATTCTGATGTCTTGATCATCTGATAAACCAGTTACACAAAGACTGGTATTCTGATGTCTTGATCATCTGATAAACCAGTGATACAAAGACTGGGACTCTGATGTCTTGACCATCTGATAAACCAGTTATACAAAGGCTGGTATTCTGATGTCTTGATCATCTGATAAACCAGTGATACAAAGACTGGGACTCTGATGTCTTGATCATCTGATAAACCAGTTATACAAAGACTGGTATTCTGATGTCTTGATCATCTGATAAACCAGTTATACAAAGACTGGTATTCTGATGTCTTGATCATCTGATAAACCAGTTATACAAAGACTGGTATTCTGATGTCTTGATCATCTGATAAACCAGTGATACAAAGACTGGGACTCTGATGTCTTGACCATCTGATAAACCAGTTATACATTTACCTTTCTGTACTTTCCACCAGGTGATAAAGCAGATACTTACTTTGCTTGCTGCGCTAGCTGTCAACAGCCACCATTTCCTACTGCCATTGTGTATGCTCATGTTCCAAGGGACGACGTCATTCACTAATGTCATTGGTCAGTTTCAGCTATTTCATTCATCAAATGAAAAGACCAAATGTTAACAAGCAAATGGTCAAAAATATTTTTTTTAAAACAATCTCTGCTAAAGACTTTTATTAGCCTATGTTTATTTGTAAATAATTTATCCACATTTTTTAAATTTAAATGAGTCAAGGGCCTTAAATTGTAATTAGTTATTTTATTTAAACAGCTATGTTTATTTGTAAATAATTTATCCACATTTTTTAAATTTAAATGAGTCAAGGGCCTTAAATTGTAATTAGTTATTTTATTTAAACAGCTATGTTTATTTGTAAATAATTTATCCACATTTTTTAAATTTAAATGAGTCAAGGGCCTTAAATTGTAATTAGTTATTTTATTTAAACAGCTATGTTTATTTGTAGGCTTTTATTTTGTGCACTTGATTGTTTGTTGTCCCAGGTCTATGGTGTTTATTAGGAGGGGCACTGGTACTTTTATACAGTCAGATCACCACATCAGTCTACTCTACACAGATCCTCAAAGTGGCCCTAGCTTTGGGTGTCATGGGGGTATGCGTCATGATTGTACAGCCACAGCTGTCACTAAGCTTGTGAGTTCATGTCTTTCTCTAGACTTCCTTTCTTCTAGTTTTGATTTTAAAATGCAGTTATTTGCTGCAAGTCCTCTATGGCCACAACATGAATAAAAGGAAGGAAATAGAAATAAAATAAATCAGAAAACAACATTGCATGTATGTAAAATTGTAGATATGGTTTATGCTGTATGATGGAGTCAACCAACCAAATCTTTTATTCAACCACTTAAATTATTTCCGGTTTTCTCTTAACATATATTTCGCTAGTTACGGGATGGAAATGTAGATAGATTGGCCACGCACTGGGGAAATGTAGATAGATTGGCCACGCACTGGGGAAATGTAGATAGATTGGCCACGCACTGGGGAAATGTAGATAGATTGGCCACGCACTGGGGAAATGTAGATAGATTGGCCATGCACTGGGGAAATGTAGATAGATTGGCCACGCACTGGGGAAATATAGATAGATTGGCCATGCACTGGGGAAATGTAGATAGATTGGCCACGCACTGGGGAAATGTAGATAGATTGGCCACGCACTGGGGAAATGTAGATAGATTGGCCATGCAGTGGGGAAATGTAGATAGATTGGCCACGCACTGGGGAAATGTAGATAGATTGGCCACGCACTGGGGAAATGTAGATAGATTGGCCATGCACTGGGGAAATGTAGATAGATTGGCCACACACTGGGGAAATGTAGATAGATTGGCCATGCAGTGGGGAAATGTAGATAGATTGGCCACGCACTGGGGAAATGTAGATAGATTGGCCACGCACTGGGGAAATGTAGATAGATTGGCCACGCACTGGGGAAATGTAGATAGATTGGTCACGCAGTGGGGAAATGTAGTTAGATTGGCCACGCACTGGGGAAATGTAGATAAATTGGACACGCACTGGGGAAATGTAGATAGATTGGCCACGCACTGGGGAAATGTAGATAGATTGGCCACGCACTGGGGAAATGTAGATAGATTGGCCAC